GTAAAGAATCCTTCCCAAACATTTGTAAAAACCTGATAGTATTTAACAAACAGTCGAAATTTGTGATCCACACAAAATACCAATTTTTTCATGAAAAAGCTCAAAAAGTCTCACAAGCACTTTGCCTCGTGATAACCATCTCTCCTCCATATGTAGAATCAGAGCTGTGTTCTGACTACCCATTTCTTTGCACAAGAGATGTAGGCATCTCTTTAATGTCAAGTGCGTTTGTGTGGAGAATAAAGTGACTGCTGGTGAAGCCTAGTGCCATAGTTTTGATCCACATTATAGTATCTGCCTTGGGGCCATCACTGCACAAATCAACTTATTTTTCCCAACTAATTTCACATCATTTCATGAAGTTGTTAATGCTGTTGAATATTTCTTCACCAGTTATGTTGCTTTGCAAAGATTTATATAAGAGCAGGTCATTCTCATTAGATTTATCAAACATCTAATGCACAGATACCTGCAATACTGCAAGCCCTGACATGTCAGTGGATTCATCTAGCTGTAATGAATATGCATTGCAAGATTTCAGTCGGAAAACTAGCTCATTCTCGATGTCAGCAGCAAGATCTTGAATTCGATGGGTGACAGTATTGTTTAACAGCTGTAATGCCTCAATCTTTTTACTACCCTGCTCATCAAGCATAGACTTTACACTATCTTTCATGCAAGGTTTAATGAGGTTTTATCCAATCGTACATGCTTCTTTCATGAGTGCAATGCGGTAACTTACTTTGTAAAATGTCTCTGTTGCATTTTCGTTGTCTGTTTTGACAATTTTAACATCGAGGTTTTAGTCTGTAAGTTCATTAGCCTTTCTCTTGAAAAAACTAATGTCTTTATCTTTATATTTGGAATGATTTGTTTCCAAATGTCACAGTTTAGCAGGTGCCATAGAACTGTTGAATAATATTTTGTTTCACACGATGCACTGTACCTCAAGGGAATCTTTATTTCCAATGCATGTAAACCCATAACACAAATAGCTCTCGTTGTACTGCAATAGTCCACCTTCAGCGGCAGTCAATATATCAGAAGAACTTGTTTTTTGCTTTAAAATTTCTTCTTTTAGCCACCGATTCATGGCTAAGTAGTATCAATAAATAAAATCACTATAATTTTGTGATGTTCCCAAACTCAAGACTACCTTGAAACACTGCACTTGACTACCACTAGCGACTAACTTATAGCAAGCCATCAATTAGGCTCCACTCATAAATTAAATAGCCAATGACAAAGGGAATACAGGGTGATACGATTTATGGGCTGAGTTTTTAAGCCATACTTACACCTGGCCTTCTCCCTTAGTTCGACTACATTACTCAAACTTTTCTTGCTGAGCCCCTGGATATATCGTACAAAACCCCCAGGGTCCACAGAACACAGATTGGGAAATGTTGATGTAGACAATAACACCAATATATTAGGTCGTCAAGAAATTAATGTCCTTTTTTTTAGATGAAAAAACCCGAGCAACTATAATCAAAACAAAACATTTATTAAATGAAATAGTCTCCATTCTTATCGAAAATGCCTTTCCATCTTACAATCAGGTTGTTAATGCCCTGATTAAAGAAATTACTTGATTTGAAGCAAAAAACATGTCGATGTCCTCTTTAACACCTTACACATTTGGATACATTTTCCCATTAAGATGGTGTTGTAGCGAACGTAAAAGATTGAAATCTGATGGTGCCATATCTGGAGAATATGGTGGGTGGGCGAAAACTTCCCAACCCAACTCCATAATCTTATGTTGCGTCAAACGTGCCACATGTGAATGTGCATTGTCGTGGAGAAGAAGAACACCTTTCCGATTGACGAGTGAAGGGCGTTTCTGATGAAGAGCTTGGTTTAAACGTTCCAGTTGCTGACTATAGATCTCTGCATTGATAGTTTGCTGTGGATTGAGGAGCTCGAAATGAATTACTCCTTTGATGTCTCACCAAATAGAAAGCATCACTTTTTGCAGATAGAGTCCAGGTTTTTGAGTCAGAAGTGGTTTTTGTTTAGTTCTGAGCATTTAATATTCGCAAAGAGAATCCATTTTTCATCACGGGTGACAATTCTGTCCAAAAATGGTTCACGCACATTATGCACCAGTAAAGACGAAGCACATTGGAAACGATGATCATCGGAGAGTTTCTGAGGCACCAAAACACCTTTTTTATGGAGTTTTCCCACATTCCTTAGATGTTTTCGTATTGTTTCGTGAGATACATGCAATATCAGCGCCATTTCACGAGTGTGCCTTGGGCTAGACTCAACAAGCGTCTTCAGAGCATCATTATCAATTCCAACATGTCAGCCCCTGTCATCACAGTTTTTAACAGCTGAACGAAATTTTCTGAACCATCGTTGAAACTTACGAATGTTC